GGCTGGTATCAACAACTCACATTTCCAATTTTGAAGTTCTCTCATGTGTTCTCTCTTCTAATTTGTAGATTTTGAACTCCCTATTTTATAGCTACCATATAGTTTTGGGTTATATATCGGTTAACTGTCAAACTAACACGATCTTGGCATTAAGTCTTAGTTAAGGACTAGTGCGCGTAGGAATACGCGAGCGAAGCACCTCATTTCCATAATTTTCTTCGATCAAATAACCTTGTAAAAATCTTCTTCATTTCAAAACTCTACGTCATTACTAACGTAGCTGGCCAAAATGAAATAAGAAAAGCAATATTAAAACTATTAGACCATCCATTTCACTGAATAAACTCAAATTTAAGTAATTAAAATATATAGGAAAACTCAAAATAAAGATTACATTGCAATGTCTTCAAACAACAACTCTACGATACTTCTCAGAGAATAAAGGATGTGTTTACTGCTTACGCCTCCTTCCATATCTAGATATTAAGTGTTACAAGTTTCCTAGGACGAAGATTGAACTAAGAACGTGTTAGCAACAATTCCTTCGTGAATGGAGTTCTTAACTAGTGATAGCCATTTTTAACTCGTGATAGCGTAGCTAGGGGAAGATATAGCAGTTGGATGAGGGAAAAAAGGCACTCGTTCGGTCAGCCGGTCATTCAGGATCAGCTAGTCGTTGGGTCGTAAGCCTTTTTTGTGGTAATTTCGCCCGATCTTTGTGAATAAAACGGCTGCGAAAGTGGTGAACTGATCTTTCGTGTTTTGGAGTCGAACAAGTGCTCCCAAATTAAATTACCGATGAATCGGTAGCTTCAAGGAATATTTTAGTGCAATGAATGAATGATTAAAGATGCTTGTTTATAACTCAAGTCCTAAGGACAGAAACCGTGGCAGCGATATCAAAATAGCCTTGGACTCGCTCTTTTAAAGGCGAAGAGACGTAAAATAATATAAAATTGTACCCACGATACTTATATTCAAATTGTCATATTTGAAGTTAAAGGCAATAGCATGTAGCAACTCGCTAGTAGATTCTTTTCTACTTCCAAAAGTTGGGATTTTTATGGTTTAACATTACGTAGTGCTGAGTATTTTTAGATAATGTAATAAGCGCTTTGAGTTTTTCAAAAAAACCTTTTCATGGTGAG